AGAATAACTCCTAAACTGATACAGAGTTATCAGGGCAAAAAGCAAGGGTGTGGGGTTGGAATGCACCATACAGAATGTGTAGTCTTTGGATGTGAGGCATGGCAGGTTTGAAGAACTAAATTTTATGATGGCTGAAATTTAGAATACCAAATGAAGAATGAGGAGATAAAGACAAGATTATCTCTTAATACAAAGAGCTCTGTAAGCTGAGTTTAAGGAGTTTTTCTTCTATAGAAAGCCATTACAGAGTATTAAGCAGGAAATGGGAATAATCACCCTACATTTTAGATGACTCTACACTGTAGAAATTACAATAGAGGGGACTAAGGCTGAAGGTGGGGATAACAGTGGAAGACTATCACAGTGTTTAGGGAGGGGGAGAGCCAATGGCCTGGCCTGGAGGAGTGGCAATTTATATGGAGAGAAGTGGACAAATCTTTTAAATATGTAGGAGCTTGTATAACATGACTTAGTAACTCACTGGATGTCAGCAGGGAAGGAGAAAGCAAGAGAAGGAATGACTCCTCTGTTTCTAATTTAAGCAACTAAATAGATAGTGGTTTCATTTCTGTGAGATAGGAAATTCTCTGAAGAAGGAATAGGTTCGATGGGGAAAGGTCTTCCGTTCAGTTGTGCATATATTGATCTTAAGATGCTTATAGAGAAAATGAGGTAGCAATATCCAATAAGTAATTGAATATGCTAGTTAAATTTCAGGAGAGCTCTGTTAGGTCAGGCTCATTGGCGTATTGGCCATAATTGAAGCCCTGCAGTAAAATAAATATCCTGTGAAAAGTATATAGAGTTAGAAAAGAAGAAAGCATAGGCAGACTCCCAAGAAACCCCAGTATTTCAGAGATAGATAGGAGAAAAGCAGCCTGTAGAAAAGACTGAAAAAGGAAAACCAGAGAGGTAGAAGGAAGATAGAGCAAATGACAAAATGATGTGACCATCAGAAGAGAAAGATGACTTCCAGTTCTGCGGTGTACCTTCCAGGAAGCTTTACTGGGAATGACACTTTAGCAGTGGGAAGGAGTTTCAAGCAAATTAATAATGTACAGCAGAACAATTCGTAGTTTGCCTAATTTCACTGAAACACAGAGGTAACAGAAAGCAGACAAAATGGTTTCAGGTCATGCTATGGAAAAGCTTGGCTTCTGGGTAGGTTGGTAACTTTATTACATAGGTAAGAAAAACCACGTGTTTAGTGTGAAGGTAAAGACAAGAATATAAAACATGCTCTGGGTTCCAACCAAGATGGAGGCATAGGTAGAAACCCTTTACTTCCTCACACAACCAAAAGGAGGATAAGCACCAACTGAAAAATCAATAAACAACCAGAAGGGCCAGAAAATCAAATTGCATAGAACTCTGACAACCACAGAATTAAAGAAACAGTTAAACAGAACAACCAGACTGGTAAGGTGGTGGACAGAGAGAAACCCAGGTGAGGCAACAGACTGTGGAGGTGGAGCTGGCTGCAGCCAGGTGGCAGGGGCTGACTTAAGGGGAAGACTCAAGACTCAATGGTGGCTCCCACAGTTGCCACAGTGGAAGAAACTCCCAGTCTCACTTCACTGGAAAGTGGGCTAAAGGCAAGCAGACCAGCCACTCTGTTTCCTCTCTGGCCCCACCCCACAGGCAGCACAGCAAGGAGGGTTGCCCTGCTCTGGTGAATACCTAAGGCCCCGCCGCCCTACAACTTAACAGGTGCCTCAACTTTGGCCCAACAAAGAAATAGGGCCACAATGAAAGAACAGAGCAAAACCTCAGAAAGAGAAGCTAAATGAAGAGGATACAGCCAACCCATCTGATGAAGAATTTAAAGCCCTGGTAATCAAAATGCTCACAGAACTGATTGAGCTTGGTCAAAAAATAAAAGAACAAATGAAAGATACCCAAAATGAAATAAAGCAAAATACTCAGGGAACCAACAGTGACAGGAAGGAAACCAGGACTCAAAGCAACAATTTGGAACAAAAGGAAAAAATAAACATCCAACTGGAACAGAATGAAGAAATGAGAATTCAAAAAAGTGAAAAGAGAGTCTTACAAACCTCTGGGGACAACCTGAAACGTTCCAATATCTGAATCATAGGGGTGCCAGAAGGAGAAGAACAACAGCAAGAAAATGAAAACTTATTTGAACAAACAATGAAGGAAAACTTCCCCAATCTGGCAAAGGAAATAGACTTTCAGGAAGTCCAGGAAGCCCAGAGAGTCCCAAGGAACTTGGACCCAAAGAGGAACACACCAAGGCATGTTATCTTTATCCAAGATTAAAGACAAATAGATAATCTTAAAAACAGCAAGAGGAAAGTAAAAAGTTACCTACAAAGGAGGCCCCAAAAGGCTATCAGCAGATTTCTAAAAAGAAACCTTACAGGCAAGAAGGGGCTGGAAAGAAGTATTTGAAGTCATGAAAGGCAAAAACCTACATCCAAGACTGCTCTATCCAGCAAAGCTATCATTTATAATGGAAGGGCAGATAAAGTACCTCCCAATGTAAGGTCAAGGTAAAGGAGTTCATCATCACTAAGCTATTATTATATGAAATGTTAAAAGGACTTATCTAAGAAAAGGAAGATAAAAATATGCACAGTAAAGTGACAACAAACTCACAACTATCAACAAATGAATCTAAAAATATAAAAGAAAGAAAAACAACAAAAACAAAAGCTAAGCAAACAACTAGAACAGGAACAGAATCACAGAAATGGAGATCACATGGAGGGGTTTCAGTGGGGAGGGGGAGGGAAGGAATAGGGAGGAAAAAGTACAGAGAAGAAGAAGTGTAATTGGCAGGCATTAAATAGATGGGGAGAGGTAAAAAATGGCACAGGAAACAGAGAACTGGAAAAACTTGTATGTACAACCCATGGACTAAGGGCGGAAGGGATGCTGGAGGGTTGGGGGGTGCAGGGTGGAGGGGGGATAAAGGGGAGAAATTGGTAAAACTGTAATAGCATAATGAATAAAATATACTTTAAAATGCTCTAAACCCTGAAATATTTTAATGCTATATTGTGGAAACAAGATCTATGAACCTGAAAAGAGTAAAAATTCAAGATAATATCTCATTAATGAGAATAAACACTAAATACTATATAGGAATCTTAAAAGTGACAAAGTCAATCTGAGTTGTAGTAGTAGTTTAGCCAAGATTTGTGTTTTTCTGATTAAATAATAATGCCAGCTAGTCATTATCTCTAAAAAAACTGATTTCGTTTTAATGCTCTTTATAAAGAAGAGTCTCTTTGTGGATATAGCTCTCAAATTTATTGGTTTAGAAAGACATGCTGTAGTTGTTTTTATTTCATGGTTTTGGGTATAAACTCAAGAAAAAGTTGTTTAGCCTTCACCTGGTGAGTCAGTTGGTTAGCGCATCATCCCATACACCAAGGTTGCAGGTTTGATCTCTGGTCGGGGCACTTACAAGAATCAAACAATGAATCTGTAAATGAGTAGAACAGCAAATCTCTTTCCCCCTTCCTCTCTCTCTTTCTAAAATCAATCAATTAAAAAATTTTTTAATTCTTTATCTAAAAGGTAGCCACAATTCCAAAATTTCTAAAGCAGTTCATAAGAACACAGATATTGATGAATTTGCTTTACCTAGCCTTCATTTAATAAATAGATGTTAAATGTCTATTGCAGTGCCTAAGGGCACGTAACACATACTGAAACACCCCTGAATTCGAATTCCAGCTCTGCTGCTTTCAATAGAAGGAAAAATGTTTCAGTCTCATGTAAGCAAAGTTGAACTTAACTCTGCATGTGTAATGATTTTTGAAGGCTATATCATTTATTGTGTGTCCAGTTGTTAATGCTGCTGTTAAATTTAATTGGTATTTCTAAAATCTATAGTTGGGATGGGGGTGTGAAAAATGATTCTAAAGTTCTTAGCTAAGTCACAACGTGTAGCATCCATATTTGGAGGACAGTATTGTCCACACATTTTTGCTGAATAATATGTGGTGGAGTCACCAGATGTCACTGTTGTACAACATTGCTTCAGAAAGAATAACCCCCTAAACAGAGGCCTTAGATCGCCTGACATCCTCCCTGCTACACCACTTTACAGGTCTGGAATTGACGTACAGAGAGGTGAAGTGACAAGAAATTCACTCAGTATTATATAGCATATTAAAAGCACAGAGCATAGTTTGCCCTATGCTTTTTACACTGCCACACTTTTTACAATACCATACTGTCCATTATTAATGTGTGTGATGAAAGAAACATTGTGTTTTTTTAAGATTTTATTTAATCATTTTTAGAGAGAGGGGAAGGGAGGCAGAAAGAGAGGGAGAGAAACATCAATGCGTGGTTGCCTCCCACATGCCCCCACCAGGGGCCTGGCCCGAAACCCAGGCCTGTGCCCCTACTGGGAATGGAACCAGCAACCCTTGGGTTCGTAGGCCTGCACTCAGTCCACTGAGCTACACCAGCCAAGCCAAAGACACATTCTAATAAAACCAGTGAAAATCCTCTAAATCCATCACTTTAAAAGTAAAGCTTATGCATGATTATAATGCTGCATACTTACCATAATTATTAGTTGACTATCATACTTTTGCTATGAACTATACAAACCTCTCACTTTATTCCCATAATTGCAAGATATATATGTATGTGTATATATATGTGTATATGTACATATACTTTACCTCATTCCAAAAAGGATTTTAAGGTTACTGAAATAAATATAGCATAAATTTTTTCAAAACTGAGGTGATCACAAATAGAAGATATTGGAACATAAACCACTATGAAGTATTCTTTTTATTATTATTAAAAATCATTCCACAAGTTCCAGTAAACTTAGATTTGGTTAGCTATTCTCAAATTTGATTCTGCTTTCTCTAGCTATGAGCATGAAGTAAGAAATGTAGATGGTGCTTTGTCCATTAAAAGATGATGAGATATTGTACTTTACCCAGGATCATACAACTAGTCTATTTCTGATTTTAAAATGTCCACTCTTTCTGTTATGCTAGCTACCCAGACATCTAGTAAGAGGACTCCTTACAAGATACAGTCACTGTAACTCTTAAATACCTGGATTACCACCATTACTTCTGCATTATACAGGTAGGCTTTTGTTTATATTAAATTTATTTCAAATAATTTCACAGAGCTGTTGACAAGATGTTTTTCTATCAAGAAATTGAACCCTTAAAATGAGTTATTAGGAGAAAAATAAAATTTGAGTTTAACCCTAACCCATAGTACCTTAGAATGTGACTTTATGTGGAGAGAGTGTCTTTTCAGAGGTAATCCAGTTAAAATGAGACCAATATGATGGTCTCTAATCCAACATGACTTATAATTCATGTCCATGGGTCCTACATATAAGTTCTTTGGCTTCTTCATTTTCTACACTATTCTTAACTTCCTCCTGTCTATTTTATACCTGCCATTTATGCTTCTTATCCCCTGTACCTTTTCCCTTATACTCCCTCCTTTCCCTCCCCACTGATAACCCTCCATGAGATCTCCATTTCTATGATTCTGTTCCTATTCTAGTTGTTTGCTTAGTTTGTTTTTGGTTTTCTTTTAGGTTCAGTTATTGATAGTTGTGAGTTTGTTGTCATTGTACCATTCATCTTCTTTTTTTGATCTTCTTTTTTTAAATATAATTCCCTTTAACATTTCATATAATAAGAGCTTGGTGATGATGATGCTTTACCTTATCTGGGAAGCACTTTATCTGCCCTTCCATTCTAAATAATAGCTTTGCTGTGTAGAGTGATATAGGTTGAAGGTCCTTGCTTTTCAACACTTTGAATTTTTCTGCCAGTCACTTCTTGCCTGTAAGGTTTCTTTTGAGAAATCAGATGACAGTCTATGGAAACTCCTTTGCAGGTATCTCTCTTCTTTCCTCTTGCTATAATTCCTCTTGCTTGTAATTCTCTCCTTATCTTTAACCTTTGCCACTTTAATTATGGTTTGTTTTAGTGTGGTCCTCTTTGTGTTCATCTTGTTTGGGAGTCTCTGTGCTTCCTGGACTTGTATGTCTATTTCTTTCACCAGGCTGGAGAAGTTTTCCTTCATTATTTGTTCAAATAAGTTTTCAATTTCTTGCTCTTGCACTTCTCCTTCTGGCACCCCTATGATTGAGATGTTGGTACATTTAAAATTGTCCCAGAGGTTCCTAATCCTCTCCTCATTCTTTTGAATTCTTGTTTCTTCATTCTGTTTCAGTTGAATGTCTACTTCTTCCTTTTGTTCCAAATCATTGTTTTGAGTCCTGGTTTCCTTCCCTTAACTGTTGGTTCCCTGCATGTTTTCCTTTATTTCACTTTGTATAGCCTTCATTTCTTCTTTCATTTTGTAACTATACTCAATCATTTCTGTGAGTATCCTGATTACCAGTATTTTGAACTCTGCATCTGATAGGTTGTCTATCTCCTCATTGTCTAGCCAATGAGGAGTTCTTTTCTGGAGTTTTGATCTGTTCTTTCATTCGGGTCATATTTCTTTGTCTCAGCATACCTGTTATGTTGTAAGGTACAGAGCCTTAAGTATGTGACAGGGCAGGGCAACCCATGTTGCTGCGTTGTGATGCTGTATGTGGGAGAGGGGTCAGAAAGGGAACAATGGCACTTGCTCAGCTCTCACCAATCTCTGTCACTTCCCTGACTTTCTCCAAGTAACTGGCGCCCTTCCAGTGGCTGTCCTTGTGCTGATTTCTTGAGTGGGTTGGCATGTGTATGTTTTAGGACTCCATGGGATCCTCAAACAGACTCTCCTGAGAGACTGGCCGTTTCTTCCACCACTGCAATCATCACAGGTTTTTACAGCCAGAGGCTATGAGGCTTTATTTCCCCCAACGCTGGAACCCTGGGTTGCACTGTCTATCCTGGGCTGGGATTTCTTGCTCTCTAGTTGTTCCTCCTGGTTTTTATCTGCAAGCAAATGTGGCACCACCCAGTCTGCCAGCCACCACCTCACTGCACGTCCACTCTACCCCTCTGCTGCCCATCTCTGCCCCTCCTGCCAGTCTGGATGAATGTTTCTTCTTTAACTCTTTGGTTGTTGGACTTCCATACAACTTCCTGACAGTTCTGGTTGTTTTTGTTTTTAAATTGGTCGTTATCCTCCTTTCAGTTGTAGGAGGAGGCAAAGCATATTTACCTACACCTCCATCTTGTCTGGTTACTTTCATTTTTTTTTAATGGACAAGAGATTTGAATAGATGCTTTACTAAAGAAGATATTTAAATGGCCAATAAATATATAAAATATATTAGTCATCAAGAAAATGCAACCTCAATTCCCAATGCAGTATCGCTAGAATAACTGAAAGGAAAAATATGATACCAAGGTTGAAAAGGACATGAATAATATGTAAAAATAGTTAGTTCAACTTATAGCCATGACACTTGCTAAATGTGTGACTTTGGCAAAATTAATTTAATCTTCCTCAGTCTCAGTTTCAACATCTGTAAAACAATGATAATACTAGTAAATAACTCAGAATTGTGTCCTTAGTGAGGTGATTCATGTTAAGTGCTTACCATAGTTGGACGTGTCAGCTATTACTTAATCCTCACTATAACCAATAAATTAAATACTATCATACCATTATTTCATAGATAAGAAAATTGAGGCCTATGGAGATAAATCACTTCCTAGAGTTATTAAAATATATAGAGGAGAGTGAAATATTTTTTTATCTTGGGTCCAAAGTCCATGTTTTTAGTTACTATGCACACCAACTACCAGTTCCACTTCTGGCAAATAGGTGAAGAGAGTATTGAATAATTGTCAGGCACAAATATTGTGAGACACAGTATCATTTTTATTTATTTATTTATTTATTTATTTATTTATTTATTTATTGTCAGGCACAGTATTTTTTATAGCCGCTAACCTGTACATTTATTATTCAGACTCCTTATCTAGGTTTTGAGGCTCGAATGCATGGTGTACTTACCTGGATTCCAAGTCCTGCTATCCTATTCATGACATAATGGCAAATCTTAAGCAATTCTGCCTGGTTTCTTGATGTCTCTGCTTGTATGATTCTTGTTGTTACATTTTCCCAATCCTAGCCCATCTGCCTAGTTATGACTCACAGTTTCTCTTCATTAAGATTGTAGTTCAGTTGTCACCTTCATCAATATAACATCATCTTGTTTTATTTTCTTCAGTATTTAATCACAATCTGAAAATGTTGTTTGTCTCTCCCTTACCCCAACAAAAATATAAGCTCCATTAAAGCAGAAATCTATTTGTTTCATTTTGTTCTTTTATCTTTAGAACCCAGAAGAGTAGACATTCAAAAATTGAGTGGATGAACTTTGTGCCCTGACCTCAGATTTTTTAATGATAGTAAACTTCAGCCTGTCCTTTGAGAACTTGACACAGCATGGGTGATTCACCCAACCTCCATGTTCACAGAGCTAACTAACACTTAACTGTGGTCCAACAACCAATGACAGGTAGTCATTCTAATGACAAGGTAATATTTGTGATATTTTCCTCAACCAAAATGCAATTTTACCCTAAAGGACTTAGACATCTACAATTTTCATCAAATTTAAATAACATTTAAATAAAAGTTACTTTCTGTTGATTGTAATAAAATAAGTTGATCACTTTAGGATTTTATATACTAATATTTTACTTCATTAAAGTGAGACAGAATCTGTGAAGTATCTAATGTGATTGATACTCAAATGTTAATGTTCTTTTTCATTAAAATTTTTTATTTTTTAAATTGCTTGCCTTAAAAAAAAAGCATAGATACTTAAAACACTAGGGGAGTTGGTTTTATCAAATACGTAAAAGCGAAAACTTAAAATCTTTAGTTTTCCTCCTCAACACTAAGTCAAGAATTGAAAGATATTTTTAAGGCAAATATAATCTTCCTACACTCAAAGGCAGCAAATATCCCAGAGAAGGTAGAAACAATAGATATTTTAAAGTAAAAATATCCAGGCCTTATTCTTCCCTTGATATGGTTCTGGTTCATTCTTTTTTTCAGTTCATTCTTATTCAAAGTAAAACATTTATTTTATTTAAATATTGATCTAACAGATCTTTCAAATGAATCATATATAAAGACAGCATGTATCAGTAACTTATAGAGGTAGGTATTAATGTAGTTGATCACGTTTCATTTTCAATTTTCTTGGAGTCTCTTATGCAGGAGTGTGACTGAAGATAGTGTAACTCAATGGTGGAAATTTTATCAAGCATGAAATAAAGAGCTGAGTTCTGTAATATACGCTTTTAAGATGCCCAGCAAGACTGCAGTCAAGATGGAGGTGTAGTTAAACACTCCTCATCTTCTAACACATATAGAAAAAAATACAACCAAACTACAAAACAAATATCACCCAGAATTGTCAGAAAATTGACTGCTGGACAGAAGTCCAACAACCAAGGATTTAAAGAAGCCACATTCATCCAGCAGGTAGGAGGGGCAAAGATGTGGAGAGGCACAGAGAGGTGGAGAGGTGCAAAGATGCAGAGCAGGCAGTCCCACATCTATGTCTTGTGGATAAAAATAGAGAGGGATGCCTCAGGAATGAGGGATACAAGCCCCAGACCAGACCACCTAGCCCAGGGAAAGCTAGGGTTCCAGCACTAGGAAGACAAGGTTTGGGTTTGCAGAAGAAATTCTTAAGAGACTCCTCTTAAAGGGCCCTAAGTGGACTTAGGACTCACACAGACCCACCCCCTCTGGGTTTCAGTACCAGAGCAATAGCTGGAAAGGCACCAGTGGCAAACGGGGAGTAAGTGAAGTGACTGGCAATGGGGCAAGTGCCAGAAGAGAGCTTCCTCTGGGGCAAAACTCCAGGGGTCAGGCAGCAGCGCTGTCTTCTTTTTAAGCCCTTCCCTACACACAGAACAACAGAACAATGACAGAGTTTGCCCAGCCCAGGTGATTACTCAAGGCTCTGACCCATACAAAATACAGATACACTTTAATACAATAGGCCTTGCTACTAACACAGGAAGATAAAGAAATTCTACCTAATACAGAAACAAACACAGGGAGGCTGCCAAAATGAGGAAACAAAGAAATGTGGCCCAGTTGAAAGAACAGAACAAAACTCCAATAAAAGAATTAAACAAAATGGAGATAAGCAACCCATCAGTCACACAGTTCAAAACACTAGTTATCAGGATGCTCCAGGAACTCATTGGGTACTTCAATGGCATAAAAAAGATTAAGGCAGAAATGAAGGTTGCATTAAGTGAAATAAAGAAAAATAGAGGAGTTCTGGTCAAGATGGAGGTGTAGGTAAAAATGTTTCGCTTCCTTGAACAGCCAAAAGAAGGAAAACAACCAATTTTAAAAAATAAACAATCAGAACTGCCAGAAAATCAAACTGCATGGAACTCTGGCAACCAAGGAGTTAAAGAAATATTCATCCAGACTGGTAGGAGGGGTGAAGACTGGCAGCCAGGACAGAAGACACAGGGCAGGGTGACAGACTATGAGGGTGAGGCTGCATCTGGCTGACCTGGAAACTAAAGACTAAAAACCCCCAGCAGTAAAATCCTGTAAAGGTTGCGAAAGCAAGAGAAACTCAGCCTCACAGGAGAGTTCATTGGAGAGACTCACAGGGTCCTAGAATGTACGCAAACCCACCTGGCTGGGAATGAGCACCTGAAAAGGCCTAGTTTCCTTATGGGTATCAGGGAAGTGACTGAAAGCTGGCTAAGAGCCAAGGAAGTGGCATTGTACCCTCTCTGACCCCTCCTGCATATACAGCACCACAATGCAGCAACATGAGTTGCCCCACCCTGACATATACCTAAGGCTGCACCCCTTACTATGTAACAGGTGCACCAAGACAAAGAAATATGGCCCAAATGAAAGAACAGATCAAAACCCCAGAAAAAAATCTAAGTGATGAGATATCTGATGCAGAGTTCAAAACACTGGTAATCAAGATGTTCACCGAATTAATTGATTTCAGTTGCAAACTGAAGGAAGAAATGAAGGCTATACAAAGTGAAATAAAGAAAAATGTACAGGGAACCAACAGGAAGGGGAAGGAAACTGGCACTGAAACCAATGATTCGGAGCAAAAGGAAGAAATAAACATCCCATCAGAACATAATGAATAAACAAGAATTCAAAACAAATGAAGAGAGGCTTAGGAACCTCTGGAACAACTTTAAGTGCTTCAATAATGAATCATAGGTGTGCCAAAAGGAGAAGAGGTAGAGCAAGAAATTGAAAACTTATGTGAACAAATAATGAGAGAAAACTTCCAGAGTTTGGTGAAGGAAATAGACTACCACAAAGTCTAGGAAGCCCAGAGAGTCCCAAAGGACTTGGACCCTAAGAGGAACACACCAAGGTACATTATAATTAAGTTAGCCAAGATTAAAGATAAGGAGAGAATCTTAAAAGCAGAAAGAAGAAAGGAGAGAGTTATCTACAAAGGAGTGCCCATAAGACCATCAGCCGATTTCTAAAAAGAAACCTTACAGGTAAGAAGGGGATGGAAAGAAGCATTTGAAGTCATGAAAGGCAAGGACCTACATCCAAGATTACTCTATCCAGCAAGGCTATCATTTAAAATGGAAGGACAGATGAAGTGCTTCCCATATAAGGTCAAGTTAAAGGAGTTCATCATCACCAAGCCATTATATGAAATGTTAAAGGGACTTATCTAAGAAATAGATGACAATAAAGAAAACTATTAACAGTAAAATGATAAACTCACAACTATCAATATCTGAACCTAAAAAACAAAAACAAAAAGTAAGCAAACAACAAGAACAGGAACAGAATCACAGAAATAGCAATCACATGGAGGGTTATCAGTGGAGAAGGGGAGGGGAAAATGGGGGGAAATAGGTACAGGGAATAAGAAGCATAACCAGTAGGCATAAAATAGACAGGGAGAGGTTAAGAAAAGTATAGGAAATAGAGAAACCAAAGAACTTATATGTACAACCCATAGGCATGCAGTGAGGGGTGAGGGAGTGCTGAAGGGTAGGGGGTGCAGGGTGGAAGGGGAATAACAGAGAGAAATAAAATTGGGACAACTGTAATAGCATAATTAATAAAATATACTTTAAAAAAGAAAAGAAGAAACTACAGGGAACCAACAGTGGAAGGGATGAAGCCAAGAATCAAATCAATGATTTGGAACAAAAAGAAGAAAAAAGCAATCAGAAGAGCAGGAATAAAAATTAATCCAAAAAACTGAGGATAGGCTAAGGAACCTCTAAGACACCTTTAAATGTACCAATAGCCAAATCATAGGGATGCCGGAAGGAGAAGAAGAAGAGCAAGAAATTAATTTGACAAAATAATGAAAGAAAACTTCTCTAATGGGGTGAAGGAAATAGACACACAAGTTCAGGAAGCACAAACAATCCCAAACAAGATGAACACAAAGAGGACCACACCAAAACACATCATAATTAAAATGGCAAAGGTTAAAGATAAGGAGAGAATCTTAAAAGCAGCAAGAGAAAAGAAGAGTTACCTGCAAAGGAGTTTCTATAAGACTATCAGCTGATTTTTCAAAAGAAACTTTGCAGGCAAGAAAGGACAAGCAAGAAGTACTCAAAGTGTTGAAAAGCAAGGACCTACAACCTATATCACTCTACCCAGCGAAGCTCTCATTTAGAACGGGAGGTCAGATAAAGCACTTCCCAAACAAGATAAAGGTAAAGGACTTCATCTCACCAAGCCATTATTATATGGAATGCTAAAGGGAATTACATAAGAAAGAGATGATCAAAATGATGAACATTAAAATGGCAACAAATTTGCAATTACCAATAATTGAATCCAAATAACAAACTAAGCAAACTACTAGAACAGGAACAGAATTATAAGTATAGAGATCATTTTGAGGGTTATCAGCTGGGAGGGAAAGGGGGAGAATGAAGGAAAAGGTGGGGGGATTAGGAAACACATATTGGCAGGTACAAAATAGACAGGGGATGTTAAGAACAGTATGGGGGTGGGGAGAACAGTATAGGAAATTGAGTAACCAAAGAACTTATAGGCATGACCCATGGACATCAACTATGATGGGTGGATTGTTGGAGGGAATGGGAGTATCAGGTGGAGGGGGCAAAGGGGGGAAAACTATGACAATTGTAATAGCATGATCAATAAAATACACTTAAGAAAATGATGCCCAGCATTATGAACTATGAAGAAGTATTACATTTGTATGTGATAATGGTTTTTCAATACTTATGCATATGACTTTGGATAATAACTTTAAAATGACTATTGGAACTGCTTCAACTACACAGATATGTGACTTTACTATGATACAAATATATGATTTAAAAAATCATTAAGAAATTAACCCCATTTAACCATGTTTGTTCTCAGATGAGTTTATAGTCCTGTTTTTTCTCTCAAATAATTTTTCTTTTAAATATTAGCATGTATACCACAGAACCAGAAAATGAACATTTGGAGGATAAAAATATCCAATCACCTATAAGATCTGAGGTAAGAACTTAAAACTATACTGTAATATATGATATGAAAATCAACCTGATATTAAAATGTATTTCTAAAGCTTATTTATTAGGTTTCTTTTATATGTCTGGTTAAAAAATGAGAAGTGGTCATTTTAAAAAAGCTAGTTTTATTAGGTCCTCAGAAATGAGCAAAAAGAATAAAAAGATGGAGAGGAATGACTACAGATCATTTTGGAGTTTAAGAGGGTATATTTTAGGAATAATAGAAATGTAGCTTATTATTTCTTGCCATGTCCAGATAAAACTAGGTAATTTAGACTACAAAAAGGTAAAGGTAAATCTAAACTAATTAAAATGTACTATAATCAGCAAGCAAAATAGAACCAGAGATGTGGAAATAAAGAACGAACTGACAGTAACCAGAGGGTAACAGGGAGGGGGTGAATGGGGGAAAGAAGAGGAAGATCAGGTCAAGGAACATGTATAAAGGACCCACAGACAAGAACAATAGGGGGAGGGGGAGGACTGAATGTGGGAGGTGGGGGTGGGTAGGGCAAGGGAGAGTAATGGGAGAAAGATGGGGACCACTGTAACTGAACAAAAATAAAATGTACTATAAACAGATGGGGTAAAATAGGTTTATATTTGTGGGTAAGTGAAACAGTTTATTCTTGTATTATTTATTAATTGTTGTGTTTGCCATATGAACTGTAAAACTATGTTTGCTTCACCCTGTATTTGAAGAGACCCAAGTTTTATTTTTTGCAAGTATATAGAGTCAGTAGACCTTTTGTTGATGTGGTTCTACTAAATAGTAATTGCTTATGTTAGAATTTGAAGTTTTCTATTTTTTGAAATAGAGATTTCTATTGTTTTTAAGGGCCAAAAAGTTCTTTTAAATATTTAAAGTATTCACCACTGATTCCAGTTACTATTTTTATCTCTAAAGACTTCATCTTATTCTATGTCAATTTATCATAAATTCTGCAATAATAAAACAAAGTAATATGGTTTTGCTGTATATGACCTTTCATGCACCCTACTTAAAGTTTACCTTTGTGCCTTTACTTTGGCCCTTTTGTGTAGTGATGGTCTTTATAAAAAAAGGTCTTTACATGAGAACTCCAACAGATCAATCATGATTAGATTTAAAGAACTTGGACCTTAAAGAGCTACATAATTTGTTTACATTCGCTGCTGTTGTGCCACTGTTCCCCCAGTCATTAAATGTTTCCTTTCTTTCCTTACTCTGTCCTTGCTCTCTAGCCTTCCTTACCACTTCTGTTACAATGTGACGTTCTCTCTCTCCTGCACTCAAAGTACTGTATTATCAATACACTCAAAATGCTGCCCTGTGTGCACACACATACGTTCACACACACACACATACCATGATGACTTTAAGGCAAACTTGAAGATTTTTGTTTCAGGGTTAACTCTACTCTGTTCTGTTTTTTGATTTTTTTAATTTTGTTTTTTACCTTGACAAAAAGCTTCTCAACATTTTCACAAACTGTTTTCCCTTAAATCAGCAGTTTCATAATTAGACTACCATTAAAAGTCTGAAAAATTGAGGTATCACCCTTTTTAAAATTAATTAATTAGTTAATTAATTAATTTTTTATTTTTTTATTTTTTTAAATTTTATTTAGTTATTTTTCAAGTACAGTTTTTTGTCTATTTCTCCCATCCCAGCCCCCCCCCGCCCCATGCTCCCCGCCTCCCTACCATTTCCACCCCCCTTAGTTCTCGTCCCTGTGTCCTTCCTATTTGTTTCTCCAACTCCCTCCCCTTTTTTCCCCTTAAATTCCCTTCCTTCTCCCCTCTGGTCACTGTCCCCTTGTTCTCTATTTCAGTGTCTTGGTTTTTATTCTGCTTGCTTGTTTGTTTTGTTGTTTAGCTTCCTGTTAAAGGTGAGATCATATGGTATTTGTCTTTCAACACCTGGCCTATTTCACTCAGCATAATGCTTTCCAGTTCCATCCATGTTGTTGCAAAGGGTAGTGGCTCCTTCTTTCTCTCTGCAGCATAGAATTCCATTGTGTATATGTGCCACAATTTTTTGATCCATTCATTTACTGATGGGCACCTAGGTTGCTTCCAACTCTTGGCTATTGTAAATTGTGCTGCTATGAACATTGTGGTGCATAGGTTCTTTGAAATTGATGTTTTAGGTATCACCCTGAACTATCTAAAATGTTGTCTATAAATAATATGGGAAGCATGAACCCTAACGTTCTGAAGGCTTAATCTGTTTTTCTCATTTTTCTTTCTGTTATATAATTTTTCAAATGAAATGAATCTATGTTAAATTATATTTTACCTCTGCAATTTTGTTGTGTTTTCATTTTAGAAAAGTTTTCTTGAATAATCTCTTGAGTAGGGACACTTATTGAGGAGGGACACTTAACTACTCTACCCACACTATAGGCTCACTTGTTCAGCATGCATAAATCACAAGTGAAAATGGCAGGAACTGAAGTCAAGGTGCCCCGCAAAATGCACAGCTACAGGGTCTCTATGTCAACAACACATATTGATATAGAGCATAAATAGACTTTTGTGTGTGTGATTCTCCATGTCGACAGTAATTGTATAAGCTTAATTAAGAGATTTGATGGTTTCATACATTCATAAAATTATATGGAATTTATACTTCTTAAAAGATTTCTCTGTTTAACTTCAGATTCTCAACGATAGTAACACTAGTAAACAGGAAGAAACTAAGAAAATTGTCTTCTCAAACACGGAGGAAACAAAACCACAGACGAAAAAATGTGCTTGTCCTCCACAAGGAACACTGAATAAATATATTACAAATGGTATGTGAAATAAGAAATGTAAGTGGAGAGAAAATAAGAAATATATTTGATAAATTTTAAGCCACAAACCAGCAAAGCTGCTGCTTACTCTAGGGAACCCAGATGAGACTCTCAGCTCTATGACAAGCAATATGTGGACAGAGAGGAAGTGTTCCCATGCATCTGTCAAAAAAAATTGCTTAACAGATCTATATTTTAATGCTTTATAGCTTTTCATGTTAAATTTTGGGGATTAAAAATAGCTTTAATTTAAAATTTTTATTTAAGACTTATATTTTACATTTATTTTTAAGTCAGATGAAAGGAACACTATATTTCTGACAATATTAACATTCTTATTAAGTTAGGCCCTGCATTTTAAAACATCTGCTGCCTTGTAGAGTTATATAAAACTTGCTTTCCCACCCAAATTTTTAAGTATCTCATTGTCACCAGATATGTATGAGATTTTCTTGATTTCTTCCTGGATATTCCATATGATTAAACTGAAGAGAGATTCTGTCCTCCAGTAGTATAGAGCTTATAAAGAATGAACATTATTTTAAAATATGATGAAGGATAAGCAATTGAAATTTTAAATTTTTAATTTCTTTATTGCTGCTTTGTAAATTTTTTAAAGCAAAGTTTATTAATTGATTTTTTATTTAGTAAAGGCTGCTTTTTAATTAACATTAGTATTTTTAATGCCCTGCATCCAAACTAAACTAGAAAATATCTACCAGTGGAAGTGGTTGGATTCCTTTGTAAATATAATTTCTTCACTTCAGTCTTTTTTTTTAAATTCTCACCCAGGGATATGTTTGTTTGTTTGTTTGTTTGTTTGTTTGTTTGTTTTTTATTTTTCTTGATATATATATAGAGAAACATCAATTGGTTGCCTTTGTATGTGCCCCAACTGGGGATCCAACCTGTGAACTTTTGGTGCACAGGACAACACTCTAACCAACTGAGCCACCAGGCCAGAGCAAAGTTCTGCACTTAGGTCTTACCTGCATGTTTCCATGGCCCTATTTAGTGGGCAGTTTCTACAGAGCAGTTCTCGGGAGTAGAGCTGGGGCCTGTGGAAGAGAGAAAAATGTATTGGTCACCAATGGATTTCCATTGAGGTTGAAGACTTCCCCCTTTGTTTTCTTTCAGTTTTGATTTAGCAATTTTAGAGAAATTTATAGGAAAATGAACTTTTGTATTTTCAGGTGGGGATGTTGTACTCTTTCACTTTCCTTCTCTCTCTTCCTTTCTTTCTCACACACACAGACACACTATGTTCACTTTAAAGAAACCCTTAAATCACCATATACTATGGATAATAGAAAGAATAGAGCTACGATTTCTCTACAAGTCATACTTGATTCACTAATCCCACTGTGCATGTAAGTTAATTTAAATAAGAAATCTAAACTCTCAACCACATGCAGAAATCAGTCTCATGACTTTTAATCACACTGCCTATATCCCTTATTTGGGAAGTGTCTTGCCTAGTCCCAAAGAAATGAATATTCTACAGCAATAGCTTTAAGTTGCAGGCTATTACTTTTTGTTTGTTTGTTTCTTTTTAGTTTACTAAACTAACTTTTTATGAAGTGATTTTTCCTTTAAATAAATGAAAGAAGGGCTTTATTATACTATGATTTTCAAATAATGTGGGGGCCAGAATATCTCCATTAAAATCTTATCTTCAGTTTTATAAAGTAAGAAGTCTTGGAAGTTTAGAGCTCAAAGGTAATAACCCAGACTTCTCCAGACTCTAGTCCAGCTTCATCACTCCAACCTAACAACAAATAAAATGCTGAACAAACTGAAAAATTAACAACTTTTAGTCTCATCAAAGAAGTTAGGTCACAGGGCAAATTACTGCCCCATTCACAAAGATTGGAAACAGGCAGGTAGATATAAAGAATCATAACAGAGCACAGACCTCAGTGGAAAAGAGTACCAGGGCAGGAAAACCAAAACTGTAATAGAAAATTATCTAGAAACCCAGCGTGAGTTAAAAGCTCCAGAGCAGGCAAGTGGTGGCGGTGGCGGAGGTGGGCTCTGGTCCTCCTGGGATGCCCTGGGGCTCTGGGGGGGTCACTGGTTGCTGTGGTCTCAGCGTGACCGCTCAGTTATACACATGGATCAGGAAGGCAGTGGATGCTCTGTTGCACATCCCAGGCCCAGGAAGAACGCGAATGGATTGCTTTAGAGTGGGAATGAAAATTACTTTTTAATGGTACTATTATGGAAAATGCCAAGTAAAGAACTAAGGGTCAGATTGTCCTTGCCTCGTGGCCTTCTATAAGATTTAGCAGATATCTGTTTATTTACTAAGGAAAAACTCAATTTAACTCCTGAAAAGACTGAACATTTTTATAAGAAACTTTTAAACAAGCATGGAATTTAAACCATTTCTCAGATTATCCCCCTAAAACCTTTGAAAATGGAATATAAAACCTATGAGACCAAGCTCCTCCTCCTGGATAGTTTCAACCTCTTGCTTACCGATGCAAGGATCAAGCAGCTCTTACCCTCACCCCTCAGGAGACATCTCTAAGAGAGAGTTCCTTTACCCGTAAATCTTCAAGCCAAGAACTTTTCCAAAGAGATCAACGCATCAATAGGCAAGACTGTCTTAAACATCTCTGAAAGTGGTTCCTGCAGCACTGTACTCATTGGTCATACTGGAATGTAGGCTTGCACATGAAAAAGCTTGCACAGAATGCTGGAGAAGTGGGAGAGCGTGAAGCTCTTGTTTGTGAAACCTGAAAGATAGGTTGCCCTTCCCATCTTTTCTTCATTTGTCAGCAGTCAGGATGAAGTCAAATGAGTGTGTACTCCTAGTTAGAAGAGGAAAAAAAGAAAAGGAAGTACAAAAACAAAAAGAATATACTGAAAAACAAAAAGGAAAGAAAAGTGACAGAAGCCTTATGAAACAGGCTTGAAAGTCTACATAGGCCCTAAATATACAGGAGGCAGCTCCTAAAACTTGTGCTCTTCCAGTGAAGGACACAGGACTCCAGAAGCAAGAGACTCCAAGCCTGAGAAGAAAGAAACCTGGATAGTAAAAACCCAAAATAAAGTGCAAGACGAATTTGAAGAAGAAATTCCATGCTCATTTCAATAGGAGAAACTCTTACCAAAGAAAATGTAGAAATAAGCCCTGGCTGGTGTTGCTCAGTGGTTTGAGCACTTGGCCTGCAAAACAAAAAGTTGCCAATTCTGCTCCCAGTCAGAGCACATGCCTAGGTTGCAGGCCAGGTACCCAGTTGGGGGCATGCGAGAGGCAACCAATCAATGCTTCTCTCACACATGGATAATTCTCCTCCTCTTTTCCTTTCACCCCTTTCTAAAAGTAAACAGATAAAGTTTTTTAAAAAGTAGAAATACAAAAATATGCCACAGGAAAAAAGTCTCCAAAACAGAATCCTGGTCCCAACATACCCGGGGGGAGGAAAGGAAAGGCCTTTCCAGTTTTGGAGACCCCAAAGGCGGCAGAGCCCAGAGCCCAGGTAAAGGCCCAGGAAAGAAGCCGAGAATCAAAGAATAGGCAGAGAAAGAAAGAAACTCTCTTTTGGGGAACAGAACCCAAGACGGACACCCAAAATCCCAGACACCAAGTTCTTCACTACGGCTAATAAATCTGCAAGAGAAGCTCAACAAGGACCCCAGTCGACCTAAAAATCAGTGACTCAACCAGGAGGACACATCAGAGCTGCCTGGAAAGCTTCTGAGAAATACCCAGGTCCTGACCCCATCATAACCTTCTCCAGGAGTGCGGCCTCAACTTAAACATGTTTAAAACCTCCACAATATTCATAGGTGTAAGAGCCAGTAGTTTGAGTCCATATTTTAAATTGCTCTTCTGTGTATTTGCCAGTAAAATAGAAAATGCAGTGCTTCTGTTAAAGTGTAACATTTGCTCATGAGTAAATTAAAACAAACTGAAACCTCCACGGGGAATCCAGTCATGATGATGGGAGCTCTCCTTTGTATAGGAGCTGCCATCTGGCAAGGGCAGAGGGAAAGTAACCACCATGAAATAACCAGGGCACTCTATTCTTCGCAAGACCCATCCTCAAGAGAAACTTTTATCAGACCCTAACCTACGGGACTTTTATCAGAGCCCAACCTGTCTGGGAGAAGATAAATACCAACTCCAGTCCCCTCTAGCCATCCTGTGTAACCTAAGAAGATAAGAAAAGACCTGAGAGGCACTAGTGAAGTTCACAGCCCAAAGGCACAGACTCACTAACCAACTGAGAACTAATCATAGGACTACAGAGCTCCTCCCTCCCAACACACCTTACCACCATATTCCAAAGGTTCTTTTACCCAGGACATCATGTTCACCTTTAAACAAAAATATACACAATGTACTCAAAAGCAAAAAACACAAAACAAAAAAAAGGAGTTTGAAGAGACAGAGAAAGCATCAGACCTAGACAGACCCAGATATGGCAGGGATATTGGAATTATGACACCATGAATTCAAAACAACTATAACTAATATTCTAAGAGCTCCAATGGAAATGGAGATAACATGTAAAAATAAATTGGTAATGTAAGCAGGGAGATAAAAGTTATAAGAAAGAATTCAAAATAAATGCTAGAAATTAAAAGTACAAAACAAATAAAGAATGCATTTCAGACCAGGATGGTGTGGCTAACTAAGTGCTGGCCTGGAAACCAAAGGGTCGCTGTTCAATTCCCAGTCAGGGCACATGCCTGAGTTGTGGACCAGGTTCTCAGTAGGGGGCACATGAGAGGCAACCACACATTGATGTTTCTTCCCCTCTCTTCTTCCTTTCCCCTCTCTCTAAAAATAAATAAATAAAATATTAAAAAATGCATATAAAAAAAGAATGCATTTGATGGGTTCATTAGTAGACTGTATACAACTGAGGAAAGAATAACTGAGCTTGGGGATATGTCTATAGAAACTTATAAAACCGAAAAGCAAAGAGAAAAATGATGGAGAAAAAAGAAAATAGAATATCCAAGAACTGTGGGGCAGTTACAAA